ATGGGGGTGTGACTGGTGTTGTGGTGACCAGAGCCTGCACTGGATGTTGGGTGGGTCTTCCTTTTTGCTCTGTGGCTGTCACAGCCCTGTTAAGGGTGGGGTCTGCTCCCCAGTTGTTGGAGTAGAAGCCCTGAGGGTCAGGTTTGATAAGGCTCTGTTGCCCTTAAATGTGTGCTCTGTCCCCAAGGAGGTGAGTTCTGAAGCAAGTGAGGCTGCTGTGGTCACAGCAGACCTATGCACAGCCTATGTATGCATCCACAGTTCTGCCCAGAAGCAGCCCAAGGTGATGCCCCTTTCTCCATTGTGTTCGTCTGAGGCCTAGAGCTAGGCTGGCGCTGGAGGCTGGGGCATTGTGGCTGCAGGAATAAAGGTGGTTGTGCTGCTGCATGAGACCTGGGCTGCCTCTGTGGGAGGGCTCTCCCAGGACCTGTCCACCCCAGATCCCGCTCCAAGCTGCAGTGTGATGTGGGCAGGACTGGAGTGCTCCCACTGGGAAAAGAACAGCTGTGAACCCCTCCCCAGGGGCAGCCTGCCAGGCATGTGCGATGCTGTGACACCGCCTGACACACGGTGTGCACACCCACAAAGTCAGGGCCCCATGACTAGTCAGAGTTCTCCAAAGAAACAGAACCAAGAAGATGTGTGTATGGAGAGAGATTTATTTTAAGAAACTGATTGTCGGAGTTGACAAGTAGGAAATTTGCAGAGTAGGTCAGAAGACAGAGACTCGAGGAAGTGTTGGTATTGCAGCTCCAGTCTGAAGGCACTGTCCCTCTTCCTCAGAAGACCTTAGTCTTTTCTCTTAAGGCCTTCAACTGATTAGACAAAGCCCACCCATGTTATGGAGGATAATCTGCTTTATTCAAAGTCTACTGATTTAGATGTTAATTCATTAAAAAAAAAAATACCGTCACAGTGACATCCAGACTGCCATTTGACCAAATATCTGGGTACTGTGACCTAGTCAAGTTGGCACATAAAATTTACCTCATAGCCTCCAAGTCTGGCATGAGGAAAAGCATGGAGGCCTGAAAGAACATGCTGAGTTGGATGGAAATCCCATGTGCCATATGGAGAAGAGAAGGGAAAGAGGAGGGTACACAGATGGGGCCTTTGCCACCTCTTCTCTGACCTTGAGAAGGGTCATCATGCCAAACTACGGCCCTTAATAAAACATTACTGAAAGTTTGGAAATTAAGGAAGAAAACAAGTGCAATAAACAGATTTATTTAGCACTGCTAAGAGAAAGGATTGATCTTAGAGCCCAGAGGCCCAACCCAACCCTTAAATCCCTACTGAGTTCTCAGGCTAGTTCACCCTCCACCAAAGGAATACTCCCAAGTCCCCACATAGCAGTCAAGGTCCAACTCTGTGAGCACCCCCAAATATAAAATTTTTCTCTAGTAATTCAAATGCCTATGTTTGGATTATCTCCCCAGAACAGTTGACAGTAGAAAGAGTCAACCCCTCCAAATAAAACCCCACCTTTTATTCTCAAAAGTGTGGAATAAGATGGATCAAATAAGACTCAAAAAGTGTCCACAGGATGCTTCTTAATATCCGAGTGATTAGTTTTTAAGTACCACCAATGTAGGACACCAGCATCCCATCCAAGCTGCACTGTACTTTTTGAGTCCTGCCTCCAAAGTGGCTTAAACAGATTAAAGCAGTATATTTCTCCAGCTGTGATCAAGCTGCAGGTGTCACCTCTCATGTACAAACACTTAGGAAAAGAATCCATCGGATACCCAGACTGGTGGAGGGAAGGGTGTCCTGAACTCTGCAGGGGTCCCGCCCTGATCATGTAACAGAGAACGTACCATAGAACGTAGCGCTTACAAGTGTGGGTTTCGGAGTTATTCCACTTGGACTGAAATCCCAGTTACGTGACCTTGGGCACATTATTGAGCCTCTCTGTGTCTCTATTTCATCAATAGTAAGGGACTGTAAGAGAGTTATGAGTATTAAATCAATTAATGCAAAAAGCTTAGAAGAGTATCTGGCACACAGGAGTTGGCTCAGTCAATTTTAGTTATTAAGTATTACATTATTAAATAGGCCATTTAACAGCTCACTCTGCAGCATTTTCTCTTGGGGTATCTCATCAGTGTCATCCACAAGAATAATCCTGAAGTCCTCATTACTTCTCCTGTTACTTCTGCATAACTAAAGGTCACTGTCATAATGGTCTCTCCAAACAAAGGGGATTTCCCAAAGATAAATTCCAGTCTCTATTCCTAGAAAATGGAAACAAGCAAACAGACAAAAAACACCACCACGACAGAAACTGCCGGTAACCCTCCCAGTTAACACTTCCCAAATTCAAGCAAAGTGTTAAAGACCGGTCCTCACTGAGCGCCTCATTAAGGAAACTGGACGTCAGTCTGATGGCGATGAGGGAGCCGGTGTGGAGTTTTCAGTGCAGTGTGAGTCGATCCAGCTCGTGTTTGTGAGGATCACTCCGGCAGAATGTGGAGGACAGAGGGGAGGGCTGTTGAGAAAGAGGTCCAAGCGCAAGGCCGTGGCAATGACCAGACAGGAAATAAGAACAAACCCAGGGCAGTGGCCGTTGCAGTCGTGCCAAAAGACCTTCAACGGCCATCACACCTCCACAATACTACATTCAATAGTTATCTGCTTTTTAGTTTACCCTCATGACGTTTGAGTTGTATCAAGTCAGGAAGGGGTGTTCATTGCATGGGCTTAAGCTCTTGGCTTCCAGATCTCAAATAGAAAAGGATGAGCAAACATCGTCTATTAATTTATCTTGTGTTTCGTGCTCCTGAATTGCCTTGACTTTCCACAGTGAGGATTGCCCTAGAACACGGTTTACAGTTTAAGATTGAAAACTATTACGTCATGGCACCTTCCTTTGTCTGAAAACACCCAGGACCTGGGCCTGAGGTTCTGCCTGAGGCCAAAAACCTCCATCAAAAAGAACTGTCATTGCTGGGTCTGCGGACACCCATCTTTTTCTTCTGGGGGCACCAGCCATCTGCCTACAGCTGTCTTATATTGCAAAACAGAATCCAATTGCCAAGTCTTTTTTTATCCTTCTTTCCCGAAAACAGGTACAAAATCAAAGAATTCTCTTTTTCGGTAATTTGCTGCATTAGTGTCATTTCTTTTGGGGGCCGTTTAAATGATTTTTAATGCATAACTTCATTAGCTATAATCTTATTCCTATAGAACAAATTACAGAAGAAGAGCAGTGGCTTCTCACCCAAAGTCACGGGCCAGTCAGCCTCCAGCCTGACCTGCTACGAACCAACAGCCCAGCAGTGAGAAATAAGTAAAAGAAGTAAAAATTTTAATCATAAATGCCTGAAAAACACTATACTTTTATGCTCAGACACTTTTAGCAAATACTGTTCTCGTTGATGTTTCATAAACCATGGAACTCCATATACAATATTTCTCTAGTTTCATGAAATTTTGTAGCTCAGTTATTTCTAAAGCAGTGTTTTCTACAGCAAGCCTGCCCCTCTTTCCCTTGTTTCTCCCAAGACCATATCTCCAAGCTCTTCTTTTAATTTCTTATGATAAAAGAAAGTAGTAATTCTTGTGACTAATGTTCCAAGATATAAACTCTCAAATAAATAAACACAAACAATGCAACACTGCATGATAGAAAACCTTTTTCAGGAACAAAATATTAATCTTACCTGGCACATCCTCATGTGTTTGGGGCCATCAATTTTGCTTTATTCATTCGTTAGCTTTTCTTTGTGAGTCTCTCTTTTTTTTAAATAGACACATGGTACTTTAAATAAATAAACCAGGTCTCCACGACCACGATTCCAAGGATTGTCTGTCTCTTTAGAAAAAGTACACTAAGATTGATCTGGTTCTTTCTATTCTTAGCTTTCTTTCTTTTACAGTTCCCAGCTGTCACCATCCTCCAGCACAACCAAGAATCAAATAAAGCAGAAATAAGTACGTGTTTCAAGGACATTTACCAGGGAAGGGTCTGTTCTCAGAAGGACAGAGTGGGCCACAGATCCAGCATCCCCAGGGCCAACTAGAGAGGAGCACACAAGCACACTCACGTGTTCTCACCAAACACGAAACAAAAGGAAGCAAGGCCAAACGTCTCCCCTCCCCTGGGAAAGAGACCATGTGTTATTTTTAAGAAAAACTGAAGCTTGTGGCTTTTTCTCCTTTGAGCTTTTCCCTAAGACTGGCCTTCCCATCCTACTTGTAAATAGGAGCTTCACCTTGCCCTGCACTCCTGGCTCAAGACAAGTCACAGAACAGGATTTAATCTAGAAAACCCCTCAGGGCACTTAGATAGCAAAGCGCAGATTATTTGAAATTCCAGCCATCATCTTGGGGGCCTGTGCTGTGTGCCAGGCGCTGTGCTCGGGGCTAGTGTTTGCTGTACCCTCACCATAGTCTCTTGAGGAAGGTGTGACCCACACGGTTTACGGGAGACAAGAAGGGCCCCGCCGGGGTTAAGTCATCTGCCAGAGAGAACGTGGCCCATCGGAAGCCAGGCCTGGATGCAGGCCGTGCCCGCGTCACAGACATTTGATGAGAGGCGGGCGTGAGTCACGCCCCGTCCTGGGCCCCGGGCATAGGAAGGAGATAGCAGACAATCAAGTGTGTGTGTGCCTGTGTAGACAGGTGGGTGTCAACTGAGACGTGTAGTCGGAGAGCGAGGACATCACAAAGGAAGTAAAGAGACGAGACGGAGAGGACAGAGTGACAGGGGAAGGGCTGCGGCTCCGAGGAGGGGCCACCACCCCCAGAGCAGGCAGCCTGCCCAGGACCTGCTCCTCGACGGTCCTGGGACCAAACTGCCTGGCCTGTCGCCCAGACCGCAGCCCTACAGCTGCGGGTGCATCACTGCCGCCCCTCCCCCCGCACCGTGACAGGGTGAGCCTGTGTCCCCTCTGCTGAGGGCGGCTCCCTGTGTCCTCCCCATACAGTGACAAGGATGAGCACGGGCGGCCCCAGCCCCAGGCGCCCATTCCTCCGCGAATGCGACATCCCCACACACTCTGCACCTTGATGGTTGTGCCGTGGAGGGAGATTAATCCAGATTCCCAGCCCAGCCACTTCTCCAGGATGCAGGGCCAACGGCAGCCCCTCTTATGCTCCAGAGGCTTCCAGGAGCTCGGCCAGCAGCCAAGCAGGTGAAGTCCCCACGTCTGAGCTTCAGACTGTGACTTGGTGCAGGGACTGTCCATCAGGAGGGCCTCACAACATTTTGTTTATTCCTAAATATTACGTAACTTGAGGGCGTGTTTTGTGTTCACCCAGAGAAAATAGGCTTTAAAAGGCTGAAAACAGTGGAATAGAGGTCGTCAGCAAGACCCGCGGGTGTGCTGGGTAAAGTGAAGTAGTGACTCTAAGAGGGGGTCCCAGATGATGAGACGGGTGTGTCATCACGCCTGTCTGCAGAGGACGCAAGGGCAGCAGTGTCCACACACCGCGCCCCTCCCACCTCTCCCCCGCCGCTGTGGGATCACAGGGCAGCCTGGTTCCCCCAGCCCGTGGTCCCTCTGCTGCCTCCCTGACACCATGGTTACATCTCTGTTCCGCAGGTACGGCCCGGGCCAGGACCGCTGGATGCTCCCATGAGGTTACATTCAGCCTCTTCTCTTTACTAAGAGCTAATGCTAAGGGCAACACAGTCTAGACCTCTGGCCTTTACAGTCGTCCTTCAGACTACACAGCACAGTGCAGGCCTCAGGGGTACAGGCCCCTTCATCTCCTCACCTGTGCGCCTGTGTGTGATACATCACCTGACGCACATATGTAACGTACCAGTTACATGTGTGTGTTAGGTATATGCAAATATCTACATCAGTGTATCTTATATTCAGCAACTACTCATATTTCCATCAGCATAAGACTTTTTCATCACAGCTAAAATCCCCTGTCATCTTCTTTTTTTTTTTCTTTTTAATTACTTTCTTTTATTTATTTACTTTTGGCTGCATTGGGTATTCGTTGCTGCGCGTGGGCTTTCTCTAGTTGTGGCGAGCGGGGGCTATTCTTCGTTGCGGTGCACAAGCTTCTCATTGCGGTGGCTTCTCTTGTTGCAGAGCACGGGCTCTAGGCACGCAGGCTTCAGTAGTTGTGGCTCACGGGCTCTGGAGCGCAGGCTCAGTAGTTGTGGCGCATAGGCTTAGTTGCACCGCGGGATGTGGGATCTTCCCGGACCAGGGCTCGAACCCGCGTCCCCTGCATCGGCAGGCGGACCCTCAACCACTGCACCACCAGGGAAGCCCTCCCTGTCATCTTCTGATATAGTCATTATCCCCACAGATTTTGTGCCTTGATTTTTTTCATCGTGGAGCAAGATTAATTCAGATTTGCGGCCCCAGCCAAGCCTTCTGGGACAAAGGACAGTGAAAGGGCAGTTCCCAGGCCGCTGTCTCTCTAGGGTGTCAGGGTGTCTTCGGGACATTGACCCCCCCACTTTTTTTTTAAGTAGAAAATGATAGCTTTATTGCTGTGCCAGGCAAAGGGGGTCACAGCAGGCTCCTGCCTCAAATAACTGTGTCCCAACCCAGGATTTGATGAGGAGTTTTATAAAAATGGTTCAAGGGGGCTTCCCTGGTGGCGCAGTGGTTGAGAGTCCGCCTGCCGATACAGGGGACACGGGTTCGTGCCCCAGTCCGGGAAGATCCCACGTGCCGCGGAGCGGCTGGGCCCGTGAGCCATGGCCGCTGAGCCTGCGCATCCGGAGCCTGTGCTCCGCAACGGGAGAGGCCACAAAAGGGTGGGGCTGCTGATGAGATTAGGGTGCAGTGCAGGGTCTCAGGTGGTCTTCTAATCTTGACGGGCTTCTCTGGTCCCTGTAATCTCGCCTCAGGTGGTATCTGGGCTGCCCCTCCCTTGATTAGCAACTGTTCGAATCCTCCCTCCCTCCAGGGAAGGTCATGGAGGCTGGAGTCTTGCCTGGCACTTGGAGAGACTTGTAGCCAGTTGTTTTCAAACTATCGATACTGAAAGCTCAGCTTCTCTGTATACCGGTTCCGAATCAAATCTCAGAGACAGAGTTTTGGGTGAAGTAGAAAAGGAATAGCTTTATTACTTTGCCAGGCAAAGGGGGAACACAGTAGGCTAGCGCCTCAAGAGCTGTGCCCCTCTCCCTGGGGCGCAGGGAGAGGTCTTAGCGTTGGGGGCTCGTGGTCAGGGGCATCTGATAAGGATCTAGGCGGGAACAGTCTTGCATTCTTCTGATGGGTTGGTGGTGAGGTAAGTGGGAGTCGGCATCATCAACGTTCAGGTCCAACTGGTCTGGGGTCTATGCGTTTGTGAGCAGCATGCCATCGTTAATAGTTAACTTCTCCCACCTGGAGGGGGTTTCGACCTCTGCAAAATAACTCAAAGATATTGTTGTATGTATTGTTGATGGGGAAACGGGACCTTGCCCCAAGGCTGCTCTTGACTGTTTCTCCCTGGTCTCCCTTCCCTAATTAACAACTGCTTGGATCTGCCCATAGGAACTCAGGGAAGGTCATGGAGGCTGAATGAAGGCTGTTTCCTGTAATTAAAGAAATGGGGGACACGGAAAGGCTTTGTGCCTTTAAACAGGGACGTTTAAACGGGGACGTTTTTACCCTTCAGCTGTTGGGTGTGAAACAGATACACACACTCCACCCTCTCCCAGAACAGGTGAAGGCATTTCACCTGCAAGGTCCCGGCGGCTTTGGCTGAGTCTCCCAGCCCTTCTACATTCCTCCTCCTCTTCTTCCTCCTGGCAGGGAATTCCTAACCGGGATTGTTCTCCATACGCACGCCTACACATAAGTATTGAGGGACCCACCATGTCCCCGTGCTTCCTGCCCTGTGCCCATCAAGGGCATTTACCAAAGGTGTGGTCCCAGACTCGGAATTGCTTGCCTTCTTGGTGGAAAACAAAAGCGAAAAAGAAACAAACACAGTATCTGCAATAGTGACACAAAGGCGTCCAAATGTGGGTTGGAAGACTTTGTGGAAGGTAGAGACCCAGGCTGACCAGGGACGGCAGATGTGTCTGAGTGCAGGTGTGGCTTGGAGACCATCCCCAAGGAGGCAAGCATTGGGGGGGGTCAGGGAACAGGAGTCTGAGGGCATCAGAGGTCACAGCACCCGCAGCCGTGGGTGCATCTGTCCAATTGTTCATGACTGAATATTATTTTCCACGCCCCTTGATCAAGAGCAGATCGATGGTAGAACATAATGCAGAATAACTCACAGCCTCTCAGGGAGGAGCTGGAATAATGTAACAGAGGGAGAGATCTCAAGCCAGTCCTATCATTCTCCCAAAGGAAAAACCCAGAAACTCCTCAAAGTGAGAGACGGATGGCACCAGAAGGATTTTTTTTTTTTTTTTTTTGCGGTACGTGGGCCTCTCACTGTTGTGGCCTCTCCCGTTGCGGAGCACAGGCTCCGGATGCGCAGGCTCAGCGGCCATGGCTCACGGGCCCAGCCGCTCCGCAGCATGTAGGATCTTCCCGGACCAGGGCACGAACCCGTGTCCCCTGCATCAGCAGGCGGACTGTCAACCACTGCGCCACCAGGGAAGCCCCAGAAGGATATTTTGACTGGCTTCTCCCCGTCCAGTCTGTGCGTGTGCGAGTCACTCATGCACAAGAGGAAATTCTTGAGATGCTGGTCTGAGTTCCTCTCCCCGCGGTACCGACCTTCCCTGGAGAGCATGTTCGCTCTGAGCCTGCTCCTGCTCTCTGCTTTTCCGTACCTACTATTCCTGAAACGTTACCATGAACACAGATAAACTATGAATCCCAAGACTAAAAACGAGCCTCACTGCAAGAGCCTGGCTGTCCCGGGGGGGATTCGCAGCCGGAACACGCGGGCTGAGCCCAAGGAGTGTTTGCAGTCTTGCCCAAAACCTACATCTTCTCACCCCACAACGACCTGCTGTGCTTCTCTGGGCTCCATGACTCACGGCCCCTGCACACGGATAGATGGAATTTGTTCATCTGTAAGGGATATTTGGGGGCGGGGGAGGGATCTAGAAACCCCAGACCATAAAGAACCTCTAAAGTGGTTCAGTTATCTGGCGGAGAGAGCAGTTGCCCCTCAGATATTTTATTCTAGGTTTGGCTGATGGCCGCACCACCCTGACTTTAGCCCCTTTGCTTTGCTGGTAAATGATGCTGGATCAGCCTGGCTGGTGGCCTCCCTTGCTGGCTTGGCCGAGAGCAAAGGAATTATGCTTGACAGGTTATTAAGAAAACTGATAGGAAATAGCATCTGGCCTCTTTGAAGGTGAACTGCAGTTTGTAAGGGATAATCTAAATCTAATTTCCGGAAACCCCAGATGGCAAAGCTCTGGGTAGCATTGCCTCTGTACGAGGCTTGTATTAAATTAATCTTTCTTTACCTCTTACCGTTCTTTACATTTTAACTTTAACGTGCAAGGGAAGGATGAAAACTTTGCATGGCCTGAAAGTGAGATTCCGCAGTTCCCAGGTCACTGCTGAACGTAAGAGGGGAAACGCTGATGGGGGATCAGAGCTCCGGGCTGGAGTGGAACCCAGAGTGACCAGCGCCCAGGAACGAGTGTGGACTCGTGGTGCTGAGGAGGGAAGGGGGTGTTTTATGCATCCAGTGCTGTTGGGCAGAGGCAAGGTACCGCATTCTCCTGCGTGTGGAGAGAGACCCTTCTGCAAGGTTTGGGCTCTGTATGAGTATAGGGACCGTCGGGCTCAGATCTGCTGGAAAGGCATCGACTTCAAATCTCCCCCTGGGTCCAGGCTACGGTGGGGGAAGGACACTCACTGGTAACCAGTCTCCCCCTCTCCCAGGCACAACCCAGATCTCCCTTCTGTGACACCTGCTCTCCATCCATAGCAATGGCTTTTTGCCTCAAGTAGTGGCCAGGAGAGACTCATGGTTGAGGCTCTTGGGCACCAAGGACAGAGGTCCGTTGTGCTCTGCCTTCCTAGGTCCAGGTCTGCAAAGTCAGGAGAGGAGAATTACCTCTCCCGTTCTTCCCAAGACCTTTGGATGCTATTTCCTAGCAAATAAGGAAGAACAAAAAAATTAACCCCTCATCCTTCTGTCCATTCCAGGAATTTCACGCTAAGACCAATAAATCAACATTGTGCGCCTAACCTAGGAAAAATTGCCTTTTGTAGCCAAGAGGACAGTTGCACGTTACAAAGGGCATGCG